AAATAGCTTCAGTATAGGCACATCGAATATTGGCAGTAAATAAAGCATTTGGTGTAAAATAAACAACATGGATACATGGCGGAATGGCTAATTTATCAGCTTGCGAAATCTCAGAAATAAATAAATTCTCTGAACTCGATGAAACACCAAAGTTCTAGAACGTACCTATCGGCATTCCTCCGGGTCCGTCGCCATCTTTTTAGACGTATGTCTCGAACCCACGACCCAGTGGTTAAAGGCTAGTGGTAGCAGAATATCAGACGTGTGTCTGAAATATACCTAGCTGTTTAGGTCCAATATTTTGTATATGTTAACTTCACTTAAACCAGCAAAAATGTAGCAATTCGAATAAGCAATAAGGAGTTATTTCCAAATAATTTAGTTCAGGAGTATAGTGACTGCACGATGTTTATACTGGGGTATAGTTTAAGAATCATAAGGACATTTTTAGATAGTTTAAATTGGGGATGGGGTATTGACCTTTTTTTTTATTTTTACATGAGTATAGTTATCTGCTTGGACAGATTTTGCAATTGAGGTATTTTCATCATTGCTGAATTTAGGATCGCCATATAGGAGCAAGTTTAAAGTTAAATCATCACAGCAAGGTTGAAGCTCTCTTATTAAAAAGAATGTTTGACAGTAACTATATAAAGTTCAATTGTGAGCCAGGTTATAATTAAAAGGCTTGTAGTTATTGATTCATATAGAAATTACCCTTCCTCGCAGATAATTTACTCTGGGTGTTTACCTTTTTTTTATTCTTACATGAGTATATATAGTTATGTACTCGTATTTTTAGACTCGTTTACAACGACCTGAGCACAGGAGCTTGAAGTTCTGTCCTGTCCAAAATTAATAATAACAGTAACGCAAAAAATGCCTATAATATGCTAAAAAAAACATTATAGGTATTTTTTTGTATTACTGTTATTATTATTTTTTGAAAACTTCAGGCTCCTGTGATCTGAGTCTGTCGATTTAAACATATTTTATTACAAATAAATATTTACAAAAGAATTGAGACACAAGTTTTCACAACTTATCACAGTCCTTTTCTTCAAATACATGGATATAAACAATAACTTGATAAGGTAATTTACGCAATGTATATAAATTATATTTTTATGTGGAAATAGAAAATAGAGAGGAAGAAAAGACGGATAGAGAAACGAAGTAAAGGATAGTAACGCAGGTAGAGTCGGAGAAAAAAGAGTGATAGAGAGAGAAAGATGATCACATTCAGCCAAACCGGTTGCATTTGCCGATATAATTTTGGACAGATTTTGCAATTGAGGTATTTTCATCATTGCTGAATTTAGGATCGCCATATAGGAACAAGTTTAAAGTTAAATCATCACGAACAGGTTGAAGCTCTCTTATATGTTTGACAGTAACTATATAAAGTTCAATTGTGAGCCAGGTTATAACTAAAAAGCTTATATTTATTGATTCATATAGAAATAACCCTTCCTCATAGATAATTTATTCAGGTTTTTTTTTCGTGTGGAACTTGTTTTTTGGAAAGTACAGCATATCTTTTTTTGAAAAAGTTATATACTTTTAGATGGAACTGTCAATTATCTTCAAAGCCTTGTTTAATAAACTTTAAAGATTTTGTTCGAAAGAGTAAGGTTCGTTTTAACGAAATAAATTATTTCAAACGCTATGTACTTAAATACACTTGTCTAAACCTGGTGAAATATTTGATGACAAGTGCGAGGGGTGAAGACTTTAATTCAGCACTTAAGTACTGTTATGGGGTGAGTCGGTGCAGTGAGGAATAAATAACAGTAGGGTAGAAAACAGCGTGTGCACCGTCTTTCATTCTAAACTCTCTAGACGCTCCGTTTACGCGGTACTAAACTCCAGAGAACTTCCGGAAATACGAAAAACACTTAGTCTTTGCAGCTTTGATCAGTCAAGATAAATGTATTTTTAATATAAATAATATATATTTTATAAAGCAACTAAACCAAGCAAAACAAGAGATAAAGGTAAGGTAACGCATGGAAATAAAACTTTCTTGATGGGTTATGACACAGTTTATTTAGATTCTACTGTAGGGTGATCAGGTGATAACAGATCAAATTCGAAAGGGGATTTCCCGCATTTTCCTTCTAAAATCTGGAAATAGCAAATCGTCTTAGGCCATGAATGGTTCATTGAATCACCTGTGATGAGATGGTGAAAAAAATATTTGAGTCAACATCAGTAAATTCACTGAATTGATGGTGAAGTGTACGTACTTGTGACCACTTGGCCAATCCGACCATAATTTTGATTCGTTAGAGTTCTATTAGTATTAAATATTCTGAGTTCATTAGGCCTAGATCACAGGAGACGTCATTTATTGATGATTTTATTATATGTTTCTGCTATTTTCGACATTGATTTTGAGTTGCATTACTTTAATCATTTAAATATATTTGTAAACACAGGCACAGATTTACTGACATGTCTAAAATAAAAAATGCACTCATCAGAATTAGCAATTTGTAATATACACAGCGGACTTTCCACAGAATTTTAATAAATTTTATTTCTTTAAGATAAGGTTATGATATCAGGAATAAAAAAAATACTCATCCGACGGACTACTAACACAGAAAAATCTAGTTATTCGAGACAATTTTCATTCATCCATGATGACAGGACGAGGCTTTTCCAGCCCCTGAAACATGTCATTAACATGTAAATTGGTATAATGATACAGGTGTTAAGTAAATGTGATTATTATTGTAATTATAGGCAGCACAAAAGACGATGTTCCAAGCGTCAAAGAAAGCCCAGCAGAAGTACATCCCTGGACTGACGTCACGACCAGATGACCAGCCTTTGCCACCTGGGGCTTTACAAAATGCTCCAAAGGAGGTGATTAGTTGACCGTTACACAGAGTCAGAATTGTCAGAAATCTTCAGAAACATTGTCATGACTTGTTGCTGTATTTTTACCAGCTGTTGACCTAGACTTATAATTACTCTCTTTTTATTTCAAGGAAATTATTAATGCAAAATCAATTTTTAAAGCAAATGAAGAGAAAACAATTCAATCACATATTTACTGAATTTGAAACTTAATAGAAAAGTTGTAATCAAATAGTCTGCTGGGGGGAAAGCATTTGCTATTGACATTAAATAATAAATGCTGCATTTCTAGCTGCCTAGGATTGAGCAATGGTGTTTATAGTATATAATAGACATGCTATTGAAGAAGTGCTGTCCCTGTACATGTATAGAAATGATATCGGGGGTGTACAATTTAACATTCTAAACAGTACTAGCTATAAAGTCTGCAGGTAATATTTAATAATTCTGCTAGCCAAACTTATATTTTCATTGAAAATATGAAAAATGTTACAAGACCAGACAAACTCTACTAATTTAAACTATGTTTATTGCTCCATGCCAATCTACGCCTCCTGACTATTAGCTGTCTAGTGTTATGATATTATAATATAGTCTAGTAAAGTATTAATTTGGCCTACTGTTAATGATGGAAATGTAACTGGTTTGGCAACGTATTTCAGAAGCTTTGAAAATATGTATCTTTAAAAAATGGAGCACTTAAATATTTTAACATGCAAATATTTTTCTCCTGCGGTTTTTCAGATTCCCCAAGAACTGATCGAAAGCTTCAAGAATGGTTCGAAGCAAGCTGTCATGGCTGTTCATGAGTTCTGTACCTTAAAAAGATGGCCGCTTTCTTTCAAAGAAGTGGCATCCGACGTACAATCATTCGGAACACAGTTCGCAATGACATGCACTGTAAATGGGAAGGAATACCCACAAGGTTCTGCGAGGACTAAAAAGGATGCAAAATCTAATGCTGCTAAGATAGCACTGTCCATAATACTGGGTGTCTATGACGATGTAGTAGAGGGCTCAGACGGTAAATAGTTCGTTACATACCTTCTGCATGTATAGGACAGTACCATGTTCGTTAGGCCATATAAAAAAAATCTTGTGTTTCGCTAACCCTACCTACCCTAGATTTTCGTGCCTACTGCCTACCTTTAAGGTTTTTTTGGCATTTATTGATATGCACTGTTATAGTCAGAACTCCTGCTCTGTATAAACACAGTAAAAATAATTTCCAACATAAAAAAAATTGCCTACCTACCCTATTTTTCTGAGAGTGATAGCAGAAACACAATTAATTTTGTTTGTCTTACTCTGTAAACAGTTACCAGAGATAATACAAAACTGTTCAAACAAGACTTTTAATCATTGACTCTACAGCTTTGACAGAAATTCTTCAATTAAAACACCACTGTGTACTGACAATATATTGGGTTTAACTTTTAAATTCATATCCTTGATTTTACATATTTATAGTAGAAACCTTTGTTTATAATGTCATCTGGTAAAATACTGGCTGCTTCCAGAATCCTACATTGTACCAACTTGGCCAGAGAGAGTATCTCTTTCGGTTGATCAGTAGAGCAGCCATCCTCGATATCCAGGGGTTATGCTCACTTACGCTCGCTGCACCCCTGGAATATATGTCCTGGCAAAATTGAACGCACACGACTAGCTATTTGATTGGTGTCAGTTTAAAAAATCTTACCAATCCCTAGGCTGAAGCCTGTCCTTTGAAGATTAGAAGTGCGATGTCCGACTTCAAAGCCAGTAAGTTTTTACTGTAACGTGACCCTGAGATTCTTTTGATGTACATCAAAGGATCAAACTAGGTCTTCTTGTCTCATGCACAAGGTGGCGCACACTGGCCCTTCAATTTTACTATGACACATCCCAGGGGTGCATAGAGCAAAAGTGAGGGTAACCCCTCGAGTATTGAGAATGCAGAGCAGCGGACTAGCTATATAGTAAGTCGGAGGTCCTTTGTACAACCCCTAGCTGAGGCGTTGCATTAGAAATAATAATCTCTGTTACAATGGCCTCCCACTTAGGGATCCGTGAAATATTTACAAAAATGCTCAATGATACTTTAACTAGAATTGCTGGACCCCTGGAAATCTGTGGACAATTTCTTTCCTGGAAGGGAAGTTTGTTACCCTCGTAAAATAGTAACCACTACCTACCAACTCGACTGAGGAGAATTTTTCTTTACCTCAATTGTTATAACTTCAAACAAGGTATAAGCCATAGGTCCCAGGTTTGATTTCTAGGAGATCTAGAGTTTGTCTTTTTACCGTAGTAATGAACTCTGTTACAAGAAAATATGAGTCCGTTGAACTCATTCACCCCTGTAATTTCATAATTAACTATTCCAACCTTTGAATTGGAAGAGTTCAAATTTGTCTTCAAGAGGGAATGAGTTAAAACATTTGATGATGAAAAGCATTAATATTTCACCCATAATTCAGTAAAATGACAGAAGTAATTTTTTTCAGATGAAAATGTAGTGTACGATTCCATGGGGAGGAAGCTGTGCACCAGTACAGGTATGACACAGTACGAGTCTGCTGCCAAGAAAAGTATAATGAGACACCTAAACATGGAGCAGGTATGGATAGAGTATTGCTCAAATTATTTTTAGCTCACCTGCCCGAAGGGCAAGTGAGCTTATAAATGCCATGGCGCATCGTCCGTTAACTTTTCCTTTAATACGCTACTTGTCCTGAACGGTCCAGTTGATTTCGGCTATATTTGGTCTAGAGCATCCTTAGGCCAAGGGGACTCAATTTTGTAAAAACAGTGGGTGGGGCCCGATAGGGGAAATAGAGGTTAAAACCTTTGAAATCTTTCTTCTACCGTAGGGATTACAGGATTTTATCCTAATTTGGTATGGAGCATCCTTTGGTCAAGGGGCCTTCTGGGTACTGATGAGAGTTTGGGGGCCCAATAGGGAAATTTGATGACTAAATCTTTAAAATCCTTCTTCTTCTGTACCATTGGAGGGATTTTATGTAATAAAAATAATTTTCCATGGTTGCTTTATTATCCAGGTGAGCGATACTGGCCTCTGGGCCTCTTGATTATGATAAAATCTTAGTACATTAAATATTAACTTGCATTGTCATACATAGGTATTAACACTTCATTTTGATCTAATCTTTCTTTCCTATTATTTCTGATGGTTAATTTATAATTCTGACATTTCAATACCAATATTTTAATTGAAAGAAAGGGAAGTTCATATTTATGAAGAGAATCATTCAAAATTTTTGTTAAATTAAGTCTCTTTCTAACCTACGTTTCTTTCATTGGCTAAAATTGTGTACCAGTTTTCTTGCTATAAAGTAAGATTAATGCCAAGCATAAGTATTCCGTCTTTGCGTATATATTGCAGAGTTATCTTCTCTTGTGAGCAGGTATTGATTGTTACGTCATTGGTTTGTGGGAGAAAATTACGTCGTTTTCTCAAAAATTGATGACGTTACTCTCACAAACAAATTACGTAACAAAACTCAATATTCTGTTACATTTAGTGTTGTTGACATGTGGTTTATAAAGAATCTTTATCGCTATTACTGCAGCATTTAGGAGGCGCCCCCCAGGTACAGAATCCCGTCACTGCCTTACAACAGTATTGTGCTCTACACAGTATGCCTTTCGAAATAGAGGTCGGTGATGAAAAAGGTCCAATGGGGTAAGATTATGTGGATGGACACTATAATCCAAAATATATTTAGCAAAATGGTTACAGGTATTGATACATCACAATGAGTGATAAGTTACATCTAAGCTATCTTTCATATATATCTTGACTTTCGGTTGTGTTATTACAGTTAACACCAGAAGATATATTTAACTCATTCACCCCTAAAGTTTCTTAATACACTAACCCAACCTTTGAATGGGAGGAGTTCAAATGTGTCTTCAGGGAAGAAGGAGTTCAAAAATATATTCCCTATGAATACAGAGTTGGAAATTTATTTCAAAACTACTAGTCAGTTGGGTTAGTAGTTTCCAATTTCACTAATCCATGTGCAAATTCCACAAACCAAATGTTATTCAACAATATAAGTCATATAAAATTTTGACTTCCCAGTCAGGCTACTAGCTTCCAATTTCACTAGTCCACCATAATTATTCTACATGATAATGGATAAGGTATATCAAGTTTTTGACTAGTTAATTGGGCAAGCAGTTTTTAGAACCACTAGTCCATCTGGAGCTTTCACATTTCACTAGTCTCGAGACTATTGGGCTACCCTTATTTTCTAGTCCTGGAATATACTTCAAGCTAAATATCAAAATATATAATAACATCAGAAGATTCATGAAAGAAAAATCTATAAAACTGTATTTCATCTAGCTACCAGACTAAAATCTTTCTGATTTATTTTTATTTTTTGATGAAGCTAAAATCGTCTACTATGTTTATAAATATTTACTAAGAGGAATGAACACTGTGACAAAAGCTTTGTCAACTTACCAGACCATGTGGCTATAGAAACACAATGGTTAGGGAGGGACAGGGTATTAGCAATACAAGGTTTTTGTGCCAGTTGTGATACTAGATAGTAGGTAGGACCTTTTACAGACAGTTTGTTGCGTTAACATCATTTTTGTAAGATACCTTATATTTTTAACATTTTTTGTTTCATATTGGGGTTCCCCATCCTCGATACTCCATGGATTACTCTCACTTACGCTCTCTTCACTCCTGGAATATGTCATAGCAAAATCGAAGGCTCTGTGTACATGTTCACCACCTTATGAATCAGACAAGAAGACTAGTTTGATCCTTTGATGTACATAAAGGAGAGTCTGGGTTTTTTTTTAGCTCACCTGACACAAAGTGCCAAGTGAGCTTATGCCGTGGCACGGCGTCCGGCGTCTGTCCGGCGTCAATATTTTACTTTAAATGACTTCTTCTTAATAACGGAAAGGCCTAGGGGGTCGATATTTGGCCAGAAGCAAACTGGGATGAAGGGCTACAAAGTTTGTTAAAAACTTTAAACATCTTCTTTTCGATAACCAAACTGCCAAGGGAGATGATATTTGGCCAGTAGCATGCTTGGGTGAAGGGCTACAAAGTTTGTTCAAATGAATGACCTTCACCCATATTCAAGGTCACAGGGGTCAAATATGTTCAAAACTTGAAGCAACTTCTTCTCAATTACCAAAATGCCCAGGGTGATGATATCTTGCCAGTAGCATGCTGAGATGAAGGGCTACAAAATTTGTTTAAATGAATGACCTTCACCCATATTCAAGGTCACAGGGGTCAAATATGTTCAAAACTTGAAACAACTTCTTCTCAATTACCAAAATGCCCAGGGTGATGATATCTTGCCAGTAGCATGCTGAGATGAAGGGCTACAAAGTTTGTTCAAATGAATGACCTTCACCAATATTCAAGGTCAAAGAGTTCAAATATGTTAAAAACTTGAAACAACTTCTTCTTCTCAATAACCAAAATGCCTTCTCAATAACCAAAATGCCCAGGGTGATGATATTTTGCCAGTAGCATGCTGAGATGAAGGGCTACAAAGTAAGTGTGTTAAGATGTATGACCTTGAATCATATTCAAGGTCACAAGAAGCAAATATGTTCAAAATATTTAAACAACTTGTTCAGAATAACCAATTGGCTCAGGATGTTGATATTTAGTCAGTAGCATGCTGGGATCAAGGACTTCTATGTTTGTTAAAGTGAATGACTTTGACTTATATTCAAGGTCACATGGGTCAAATTTGTTTAAATTCTTTAAACAACCTCTTCTGAATAACCATGGGTACCAGGATGTTGATACTTTGCAAGTTGCATCCTGAGATGAAAGGCTATAAAATTTGTTCAACATAATGACTTTGTTCGACTTTCAATCACAGGGGTGAAATGATTTAAAAAAAATAACAGGGTCTTTTGAATTAGTTTTAATCATAAATACTGATATTTTGCCTGTAGCTTTATTTTAGATCACTTTTAAGGTAACAAGCGTGAAATTTATACCAGGTGAGCGATGCAGGCCCATTGGGCTTCTTGTTTTACCTGAGACCTGAGAAGCTATCCCCATGCTTTCAACTTTGCTATAACATGTTCCAGGGGTGCAAAGAGCGTAAGTGAGCTTAACTCCTGGAGTATTGAGGAGGCATATTCCTATGTGTAACCAAATAAATTACCTGCTTGAGACCCCAGTTTGGAAAAATCTATCCATCACTGTTGTTTAGTAACTTATAGAGGTAATTTACTTATAGGTTTGAGGCATTTGTGCTGATTAACGATGACATAGTGGGAGAGGGCACTGCCGATAACAAGAAGGACAGTAAACGTAAGGCGTGTCAGAGCGCCCTCAACCACCTAAAGGAGCAGGACGAGGTAGGGAACACTGTTGTAGGCTTGTTGAATTCCAATGGATTGTTTGCAAATATGATTAAAGTGACCAGGTAGTCTAGTCTAGCCATATTTCTGTACAATTTCAATTGCCCGTCACTTTGGGCAGTTAGATTTCATGTCGGGGCTTGTGGGAAATTTCATCATTCACAATCAACGATAAATCTAGGTATGAGTCCCGCGTCGACCTATACTTTGACATATAATATTGATGGGACTCGTAGAATTCCTGGAAATAATTAAATTTAACGTTGTAGGACCCATTGTTTTAGGCAATACAGTAGAAGAGGACCCATGAAAATATTAAAAATAGTAGATTGATATCTGTACGTTGAAGGCATTGTTTTATTGCAAATTTTGGAAAATCTGTCTGCAGGCTAGTAGACAGAAAAAGAAGCTGTATCATAGATCAATAAATGTGATGATAAGTTTTGTGAAAACTTCTGACCCTTTGTGCCAATCGAATATTGTACTACAGATCAGAAAGGCGTCGGAAGTAGTGATGACGGAGGAGGACAAGATCGCCCAAATTTGTTGCCTTAAACTTGAAGACGTGTACAGAGAAGTGCCCCTGCTGGCACAGTGTAAGACGTCCTTTGCGGCCTTCATTATAAAAAGAGGTAAGATTCATGAAGATATAGACTTGTGGTTGTCCTGAGTGGCTATACAATATAGTAGAACCTCTTTATATCGCCACCATTTGGCATTTTAATGGGGTTTGGCAACAAAAAGTAGATCAACAATAAAGGAATTCTTAACAAGAAGAGAAAGAAGGGACCTTTAAATATGTTGGCGGTAAGTGAGGTGGCAAATTAAACAATGGGCATTATATAGAAGTATTTTCCATACTCAAAATCAAAGTATTCTGCTCTCGATACTCACATCTTCTCTGAATATCCCTTGAATATGTCACTACAACAATGAAGGCTCCCAGTAAGCTATTTGATTGGTTTCAGGTATAAAAAACTTACACAATCTCTTGGCTTGTGCCTGTCTTTTGAAGATTACAGAGGAGCTTCACCCAACTTCAATGCCTGTTAATTTTAATTGTTATACACTGTCATGCAATTACTTTGATCTGTATCATCCACATGATTGCGCAATATAAAGAGCCTTGATTTTTTATGTCTGTCCTGAGCGGAACCTTGGATTTCAAGTATAAATATATATATATAGTGGGTATACTAACAGGTGACACATATTTATGTTTCTTGCTTTTTATATATTTGTTTTTACGTTATTTTCCATAACAAATAAAAAACCCAGAACTTTGGTTGGGGTGGAAATGTGTCAAACATGCTTCATATATGAATTTTCAAAATACTTAAAAATCATAAATGGAATTTATTTTAATTTGAATTCAGGATGTTAACATAATTTTTTTTTTGTATCTTTTGAAAAAAATAAAATTAATAGGTGATGGAAACGGTCAGGTGGTTGCTGTGGGAACCGGCAACTCATGTATAGCAAAGAAAAATCTCACATTGGATGGACGATGTTTGATTGACAGCTACGCCGTGGCTATGGCTCGAAGGGCGTTACTGAAGTAAGTGTCGTTAGTCCATCACTTTTCCAATAATGCATTTGTCATAATTTAATCTTGCTTGTAACAAGCATTTTCATTGGCTTAAAAAATTATGTTATCAGCCCATAACGTAAAAAAATGACGTCGCCGTTTGTAACGTCGCTTTTGATTGGCTGATACAGCAGCGCAATAATTTCTAAGAGAAAAAATTATCAATAAATGTGGATTTCCACAGGGATTGTGTATAGTAGATTAAATTATAAGGATTAACTTGAATATATTTTTCATGTATGGAGCTATAACACAAAAAAACGGAGTGTACTCTCATCATAAACACTCGGTCCCACTACAAACAGAACACAATACACACACAAGCATACACATAAGGATTAGTAGCCAGGTGGCATAGGACTAGTGGTTATATTTAGTGCCTGATAAGGCAGCTCCTGCAATTTCCTCAAAAATGTATTGATTTATATTTGCTAGTTATATGTGTATGCTAATTGTATTAATTGTATATCTATGTACTGTAAAGTGCTTTAGAGTGGCTTGTGCTTGCTAGATAGGGCGTTATATCAAATATTGTATATTATTATTATTATTCAAAACCTAAAGATAGTCACCATTTTATTTGAAGTGATAGTGATGAAGCAATGCGTTGGACAAGGGTTCCATTATTTTTTTCAGATTAGAAAGTTCTGCCTGACTCAAAAGGATTTATTTTATTCAAAAAGTGCAGCATTCCTTGTCCACCTGGCATCAACCTTTCCTGTATAAAACAACTTCCTCTTTGAAATTATAAGTCCTAGAGTCATGATTTGTCTGTTTAACCTAGTAATGTCAATTAAATTAAATGTTTTTTTCCTTTCAGATATTTTTTTAAAGAAATGAAGAGTTACTATGATGGCAGCAAAGTTTTATCAATATTTGAACAAATGTCAGAGAAGTCGTGTATGTTAAAAATGAAGGACTATATTAGTTTGCATCTATACCTGAGCGAGCCGCCCTGTGGAGACTACGGCTTCTACACAGAAGTGGAGTAAGTGGATCCAGCGATTGTGTCTCGTTGTTCAAGTACCGGAAAAGTACTTTAAAATGTGTGTAATGCAGGACACATCTGTGTTATTTGTGTTGTTAATGAGGTCAAAAGATAACGATTCAGAAGTCGAAAGTTTGACACAACAATGTAATGTGCACCTTGAAATTTTTGCTGCAGTTTAATTTCTTTTTCTATTTCGCCATCGTCATTGAGGGTAAGTTTATCATTACAGTGAATATTAGTACACATTATACTATGTATATAGTTATTATACTATGTTAAATTAAATTTGAAGGGCAATGTTAATTTGATGAATATCAAAGGATCAAACTAGTCTTCTTGTCTCATCAACAAGGTGGCGCACACTAAGCCTTTAATTTTACTGTAGACAGATTCCAGGGGTGTAGAGAGTGAAAGTGAGCGTAACCCCTGGATATCGAGGATGTTAATTACTATGCTTATTATGTTGTTTACTTATGTTCCCTGTAATGATAAATTCGCCCTCATTATGGCGGGTAAAAAGGGGGGAAATTAAACTGCAGCAAACATTTCCTAGTACAATGTATACAGTATATAATGGCAATGCTTTTCGAACAGATTTCTTGAAAGTTAAAAAAAACACCAGGAGAACTTTGTTAAATGATTTATGCACAAAACTTATAGATTGATTGACTTTAGGTATCAGATTTGAAATGTATTCTGACGGTAACACTGATTTAAAATTTAAATGACCATGTTTTGTACCGACAGACCAACACCTAGTCCCGCGTTGACTGCAGAGCAGAAGGACTTGGTCGGTAAAGGAGCCCACTTTCCTGCGTTTAGTGAAGAGTTCCCAGGCTGGCTCTGTGTCAAAAACAGTCTACGTAACTACTCTTACTATTACCTAAGTATCAAATTGTTAATATCTTGCAGTGATATTTTTAAAAATTCGTGCAAATCAAAGATCAGGTTTTCTCTTACCCTGGTCAGGTGTTTCTCCAAACCTTCACAGTTGTGTCTCCCGTTTTAGTCGGGAAAGATCAGCTTGTCACTCCCTAGGGGGAGACAGCCTCGTGCCGATAAGCGCGTGTTCAATTGTGACCTCATTAAAATGTGTCACCGGTAATTGTGGCATCATCAAACATGACGATATTTATACCCCATATGTGTTTTTTGTTTTCAAACATGGCAGACTATTGTCGGTTGAGTTGTGATTGAAATAATAGGATGGGAGAAAAATAATTATCCCCTACCTTGAGGGTGTAACAAAGCAATCTCCAACTCTCGGGATGATTTTTTTGGTTGTCCAACCCTCAGCAGAGCCTCGAGTTAGACAACCAAAAAACATCACCCCTCGGGTTGGAGATTTCTCTGTCACACCCTCAAATTAGGGGAAGATTCTATTAATCCACTCTTTCACCGTTGTGAGATATCCTTGTTTCACCCCAGGCTTGAGACACAAGGGTTTCCCTATTCATAACAATGGTATGACGTCACGTCAACAATAACAATGACCTCACCCCAACAATCCATCAACATCAAGTCAACCCTGAGTTTAGCCTGTAACGCTAACATTACATTATGTATATGATACACAATGGATGAACAGGGTAAGAAAAAATAATCATTCGCCCCCTTTTAGGGTGAGATTGGGGAATCTCAACCCTCAGGGAAATATTAATAGAATCTTTCACCTCCTTGGGGGTGAGATAGGAGAATCTCAACCCGAGGGGGAGGATTCTTAAGTTGCCAAACACGAGGCTCTGCCGAGTGTTTGGCAACTAAAGAATCTTTCCCCGAGGGTTGAGATTCAACTATCTCACCCACAAGGGGGTGAATGATTCTTTTTCTCTTACTATACCCTGTTCTTTCATTGTGTATCATATGCACAATGTAATGATAACGTTACATGCTAAATTCAGGGTTGACGTGACGTTGATGGATTGTTGACGTGACGTCATTGTATTGTTAAAGTGACGTCATGCCATTGTTAGGAATAGGGGAATCCCCCCGTCTCAACCCTAGGGTGAGACAAGGAAATCTCACACCAGTAAAAATGTGGATACACCTGTCCAGGGTAAGAGAATCCTGTATCTCACCCCCAAGGGGCTGAGAGATTCTATTATTCTCCAACCTTTCAATGAATTATTTCCCTCTTACCTGTTCAAGATTCCTCTGTCACCTCTAGGGTATAAAAGAAACAATACTATGACATCACAGGAACAATAACATGACGTCGCAGTCAGCTTACGACAGGAAAGGTCATGTATAAATCAGAATAAAAGCTTGGATTACAATTTACTCTAACAGCACAGAGCTGTATTGTTTATATTTAATTACCAGATGTGAAGGAATGCGTTGATGCTCTCCTTTCTAATTAGCAGAAACTAAACAAATCCAACATGTTGAATAGAGAACTTCATTAAGGATACTCGTACCATTCCAAAATACTAAGTATTGGAAACTATTTTTTTCCTGCATGACTAGTAGACTTGATAATGATTTCTAAAAAGACAAATCTTACCTTGTTGGCTTTTGATAAAAAATAATAATTATGAAATAAAAAAAATAAAATCAACAAGAGTGTTATGAGTGTTAAAAATTCAGCAGGGCTAAACCAAGATTTGAACCCAAGACTTCAGATTGTTATACCATCACTGGAACCGATTGAGCTGTCTGGTCAACAGAAGTTTACTAGCCCAAATGTGCCACAGTTATAGCCAAACAGAAGTTAAAGGGAGATTACTGTAACTAAGAAAAACGGCAGTGCAATGGGACAGGGATCCTTAGGAGGCCTTTCTAATTTAAAAGTTACATCCTGAACAAGAGGACAAGTTATTTAAAGGAGTTACTGTAAAAATACATATTTTAGTGGTAGTCTTATTTTGGTACTTTACACTTAAAATATTGTGCTAAATTATCATTGCGAGAATTGAATTTCATGTATGTTGTTATCTATTGCATATTTAGTGGGCGCACCAATTCATCAATGCGCTTAACCGGTAAAATTTGATAATGCACTAAAATTTGAGGGTGCTAGAATAAGTCTGTTTACAGTACAATTATAAGGTTGTTTCCTTTTAATTAACAATAAAATTCAAATTTGGTAAAATTTTACATTTACATACCATTTTGTCCTATTTCGTTCCTAAAATTTACCATCCAAGGTAGCTAGATAAATTACACGAAACATCACGCCGCTCCTTTGAGACCTATCCCCCACAGAGAGGGATAAAAGCATTTGGAAGTTTTTGTGGCATTTCTCCAGCTCCATGGTGTGATGAAATTTCAATGAATTCCTGTTCACTCTAGCATTTGTATATATTTGATCTGTCTTTGACCTTTCACTTGACCCCTATTTGACCTCTTTATGTGACCTTTCAGAGGAGGTGAACCCTGTGGAGGAGGAGGATACTGGAAGGCAGACTTTGGCCGACCTTGAGACAGAGGAGCTTAATGTGATGTCATGTAGCGACAAACTGCTTCTGTGGAACATTGTTGGTATCCAGGGGGCGCTCAATTCCTGTTTCCTTCAACCAGTCTATGTGAAGTCTATAATTGTTGGTAAGACAGCTTCATCAACTAATATGATAATAGCTTAAAAATGTTTGAATTTTACTAGGCAATATTTTCTCAATTTCTACTAAAGTTGTCATCATTGCAACTACCAAATGCCTGTGTTTGTTAATACATGTTTTCGGATTTTGCTAAGGGAGGTAACTATTGTCATTTTTTTTAGCACAACTTGTAGATAAAAAAGATACCACAAGTACATTGGAAGATTTACACAATATAAATAAAAAATGTAAATGATAAACACAATATTACAAAAATTAAAAAAATGAATAATTGTGGCATTGTCAATTTTAGTCATTCAAGTACATCTCACATTTACACAAGATCTTGTGAAAACTGTCGTCTGCTGTCAACAAATTTGTCGTTAGGTAAAATGGGGGGGGGGGGGTAATCTGGGAAATTTTTGCTGCATTTTAACTTCCTCCATATTTTCTAGTATGCAGTACTACATCTTGAACACATTAACACAAAAATAGAACATAGAATAGCAAATATTAAAAAGGAATTAACTATTCTGTCCTTGTAAAATTTAGGCGTCAATCTTGATCTGTCTGTTACAGATATTTATGGGCGTTTAATGTTTTACTGCTTCAATACGTCATATGAAAATTAACTGAACCTGATTAAAATTATAAATGAAATGAAAAATCTATAAATAAATATCAAGTGCAATATTAATGCCAGATGTTGTTATCAGAAGATACTACTGTTTGATGGCGTTTTCTGTTGATACATTTACGTATTTGAATTTAAAAGTTAGTAATGTTTGTTGAATATCTTAAGAATCCCTGTCCCACTGCACTGCATTTTTAGCTCACCTGGCACGAAGTGCCAAGTGAGCTTATGCCGTGGTGCGGCGTCCGTCGTCCGTCCGTCCGGCGTCCGGCGTCAATATTTTACTTTAAACGACTTCTTCTTAATAACTGAAAGGCCTAGGGTGATGATATTTGGCCAGAAGCAAACTGGGATGAAGGGCTACCAAGTTTGTTCAAATAAATGACCTTCATCTATTTTCAAGGTCACAGGGGTCAAATATGTTAAAAACTTTAAACAACTTCTTCTCAATAACCAAACTGCCCAGGGAGATGATATTTGGTCAGTAGCATGCTAGGGTGAAGGGCTACCAAGTTTGTTCAAATGAATGACCTTCAATTATATTCAAGGTCACAGGGGTCAATTGTCTTAAAAA